AGTTGGGGGGGGGGGGGGTATATCAATGTGATTAGAGATGTAATTATATATATATTTTCAAAGTTTAACAAATGTTTCATTGTAATATTTTGTCATGCTTTATGTATTCTGCTTTATGTGTCCACCCTGTCATCTTGATATTTTACAATAATATTTTAAATAATAATTCAATCATATCTATATAATCCAGTGTGTTCAATAGCTGGGTGTGGGGGCAATAACATGCAAACAAAAACTGCATCCAAATATCACAGTTTTCTCCAAATAAGAAAAAATACACGTGTTTCTTTAAAAACACATGGTTTACATAAAATGTTTTACATATTTATAATTTGAAAGCAAACAAATAACCCTGTTTAGGAAAGGGATATCATACCTTTCAGAAAATATAATTTGCATCTTAATTTTCCAATGAAAACGTATTTAACAGTAATATATATGTCCACGACAGGGTGGACATATCTTATAGTTTATGCTTTGAATAATGGCCCATAATTATCTAACAAAAAATGTGTGGGAGCTCAGCTAATATGTTTCTATAGTACTTGAGTGTCTACTATTTATGACATGGCATAAAGCGAATGGGAAATTAAAACCAAAATTTTTGAGTATTGTGAGGGTTGAAAGGCACTCTATGGTGATATTGACCCTTAAATTAATGAATTTAAAGTCAATATTTAAAGTCTTTTCAGTGCAAACACCCCCCTTTCTATGTAAATTTTGCCCGTAATGCAGGAGATTACACTTGATTCACAAAACTCAGTCTGGCATAATTAATATTGCACTATACACACAATTTCTGACTGTTTACAGGAAAGTGTTCCACATTTTCAGGCTGATACACTTTCTTTACCGCTTTGTATGAAATGTGCATTCAAATCAAATACTTTTCATTCGCTCAGTTCGTTAGGAAGAAGGTAAATTAGCTCCACAGTTTCTGAATTTCTGATGTTTAATTAACCCACCCACAATTTGGTTCTCATCACCTTGTATTTGACATTTGAGTTTTGCAAATGTTGCTGGATCAGGTTTGTTAGGAGGTCTTTACACTGGAAAGGTGGAACAGAAACTGCAATCTGAAGTGGTATTTATATGTAAGGAGGTGTTTATACAGATATAACACTATACAAATATACGTACTCAAGATTACAAATCACTAGACACAATATATCACACTGATTCTTTAAAATACGGTCACATTTACCATAGCTAACTATTATTATATTAAAAACTATTTCTGTTTCTTTTCATTCATATTATATATCATTACGTATAAACGTCACCTAAAATTGTTTACAATATGTTATATAAAAACAAGCCTTACTATTCTATTTATTTTAACATTCAAGCAAATAAATTAGTTTTGTGTAAAGGATGTGTAGGTATTTTTTTTAAAGCAAAGTACTATATACCGAAGAAAAAAAATAAAATAAAATTACGTGACATAAACATAAAAATTCAATGTGACCAACAGAAAGCATCTTGGTTTGAAAGTGACTTGTGTTTGAGAAGTGCTTCATTAATCTCAACAATATTAAAGGGATAGTTCACCAAAAAATGAAAATTCTGTCGTTAATTACTCTGCAGAGCATTTTTACTTGTATTTGTTAGAAAATGGTGTATTATTAGAGCTGATCAGCTCAGTGTAATTCACCTACCTTTTTGACATGCTTATGCAGACATTGTATGATTTTTTACCTGAGTTTTAATCTTTTGACAGAGTTCACTTGCATTTCATAACCTGCATAAGCTTAAGGACTTGGGACTGTAGAATCAAGCAGAATGATTTAGTTTGGATTCCATCTTTCGACCCTGACTTGTTGACTGCCGTGTTTGCTGGACGTCTCTCATCCTGTCATTCCATCCCCTTGGGCTGTATATTTTGGTTTTGGATCACAGTCGTTTATATACACATATATACATACATATATATATATGTATATATATACACATATATACATACATATATATATATGTATATATATACACATATATACATACATATATATATATGTATGTATATACACATATATACATACATATATATATACACACATATATACATAGCCTACATATATATATACATACACACATACATACACATACATACACATATACACATATACATATACACATATATATATATATATATATACACATACATGCATATATACATATATATATACACACATACACAATACATACATAATTAAAGCTATATAGAAAAAAACTAAAAATAAAAGTTAATTCAAAATATTAATAAATAAAAATGATAGCATATAAAAATACTGATCTGAATAATGACTGTTGTCTTTTTGGATCTGCTTTGCAGCTGAAATATATGAAATCTGTTTCATAATTAAAACTATTGTATGGTTTCACAAGACCTTTAGTGGTTTCATAATATTATTTTATCTTTTTTGTAGTCATTTTGAGGTGCATGCATTGAATTTGTGTTGAGTTTTTAATTAGCTTTCTTTTTCAAAGTTTTAGTAATATTGGTATGTGTTTTTGTCATTTTTTATTAATTTTTAAATTTTTTAAAGAATTTTATCTATCATTAATTTATTTTAGTACTTCATCTTGTTTCAGTTAGTTGCCAAGGCAACATTTCTAATTTTCATTTAATATATATATATTTTGTATTATTTTTAGTTTATCGTCTAATATTTACATTTTATTTCAGCTTTATTTCAATTACCAAAAACAATTATTTAGTTAACAATTGCATCTGCTGAATCACTTCCAACGAACAAAAATAACTTCATACATGTTTTGAACGACATTTCATTTTTAGGTGAACTATCCCTACATTTTTACCTTTAAACCCATCTTGAAGGATGTTCAAAACGTATTAATTTTGTGAATGTATGTTGCGCGTGCAGCAGTCGTATGACATACTGCTGCTTGTCCTGATGGGGCTGCTGCTGGTGCAGGCGGTACTAACATTAGCCACCATAGTAAAGTGTGCTTCCTACAAGAGCCAGCTGCGCACTGACTGGGACACACTACACAAAAAACACTCTGAGGTAAAAACACAAACCTACACCCTATCAAATGACTGACAAGTCAATTTAAGAGTACAGGAAGTGTGTTGTACTGTGTGTGTTTTGTATGACTGTGCACAAGATGATAGCCATGAGAGACTAATAAATGAAAAACTGTACTGTACAGTGCCAAATGTAGCATGAAAGACAGTCACAGTGGAATGGCAGTTGTTATGCTGCTGTGATTTCATCACAACACACATGGAGGATGTTGTGATTAACAAAGGAAGACCTCAAGGTGACTATTGGGTCATTTCTTTTCTATCATCTCATTCTTTTCTTACAGCAACAAACGTTAAATGGCACACTAAGGGATTTTGACAGAGAGAAGGCATGGAAAGCAGTGGTGGTCCAAATTGCCCAGTGACCAAAGATACAGGCATCAGAAAGAAAAAGCTGAGAGAAAGACAGTGAAGGTACAAATATGGAGTATGATAATGTCAGTTGGAAAAGAATCATCATGAAACTTCTGTCATAGTTGTCAGCTGACCTGTCATATTAATGAACAGTACACTACCGTTCAAAATTTTGGGGTTAAGATATTAAACTTAAAAAAAAAAAAAAACACTGAAATACTTTTATTTAGCAAAGATGCACTAAACTGAT